AAGTACATTGAATTGAATTATGAGAAATGACACAATCTATAAAGGGTATACTTTGATCAGTTTGATCTATCTTAGAACTCATTAGTACAATTCAAATGACCAACAGAATCATCCTGCATAACACCTCCCAGAACTTTAAAAGATAACCAACAGGGAGAAAGTGGCCAGCTCAGTTCCAGCTTGTTTTCTCAGCATCTTGCAATTGAGATACAATACAATCCCATCCTTCAGTTCTGGTGGGCAACCAAGAGGACAAACAAAAGCCTACATTGTTTGGGGGGAGCTTCTGGAACCTCACAAACCAACTCCTACGGGGGTCTCCCACACCACTTTCAGGGAAGGGAGAAATAGAAGGAAATCCATGAAAATAAAAATACACATTTTGATTCATAAATGTTCAACTGACTTCCCTGGAAGGCAAGGGTGATCAAATGTGTGCAGTTACTGCACAAGCCACAGCCAGAGTACACAGACACGCCACACTGAAGACTCAAAAGCCACTAGGGGCCTTGCTAGTAGTCACATTATGCATCAAAGCAGCAAAAGGCTTACTAAATTCTGGTGGGGGAAGAGTTATGATCATGCATTCCTAGAAAAGTTTGTAATTGCCAAAATCCTACTCATGTTGTTCTTTCCCAAGCTGCTGGAGCCAATATTTTCTCTATACCTTTAGAGGCATTTTAGAAACATTTAGCTCCACCGTGGTCCTATTCCAGAGATTCTGATGGTTTCATTGTTTTTTTCTGGATGAACTGAAATTTCATTTTATTTGTGTTTCGTTTTATCAACTTGATATAAATCTAGACATCTGAGAAGGAATCAAAACTGAGGAATTTCCTCCATCAGCTTGTCCCTTGGGCATGTCTATGGGCATTTTGTTTAAATTAATGATTTATGTGGGAAGGCCCAGCCCACTGTGGGCAGTGACACTCCTGAGCAGATTATCCTGTGTGGCCCAAGAAAGCTACTTAACAAGCGCCATGAAGAGCAAACCAGTAATCAGCACTTTTCTATGGTGCCTGCCTCAGTTCTTGCCCTCAAATTCCTGCTTAAGTTGCTGCCCTGACTTTTCTCAATGACATACTGTGATGTGGATCTGTGAGCTCAATAAACCTGTTTCTCCCAACGTTGTTTTTGCTCACGGTATTTATCACAGCAACAGAAAGCAAACATCCTTGAGATTTCATCTTACCCCAGTTAGAACAGCTAAGAGAAAACAGATGCTAGAGAGGGGGTGGGGACCCTTATTCACTCTTAGTGGGACTGCACACTGGGGCAGCCACTGTGGAAAGCACTGTGAATCCTCACAAAGCTAAAACTAAATCTATCGTATGGTACAGCTATACCATGCCGTGTCATATGCCCAAAGACTCAACAGCACACACCACAGGCATGCATTTAGCTGTGTTCTTGCTGTTCTATCCCCAATAGCTGGGAAATAGAAACAACCTGAATGCCTCTTCAGCTGATGAATGGATATGAAAATGTAGTACATATAAACTACGGAGTACTGGTCACCTGTCAAGAAAAGGGCAATCATGAAGGTTGGATGGAACTAGAAAGTATGACATTGAGTAAGAGAACCCAGGTCTAGAAAGTCTCACCCTGAATATTCTCTCTCATCTGAGGTTCCTAACTACACCTGGAGTAACAGAAGAAACCAGGAAAGTGAAAAGGGGACCATGCAGTTGGGGTAGGAAAGGGGCTCTAGAAAGAGGCATGGGAGGATAGTTGACACAGAAGTGGAAATGGGGAAAATGTGGCCCAAACTTTAACTGGGGAGTGTAACATGGATTCTAATTGTTCTTAATAATAAAAACCCAGAGTCAGATATTGGGGGAGGGGGCACTGAAAAATCAGAGAAGCAAAGTAGCCAGCCACTAGAGAACTCTTTTTTGGTTTTACGACAGGGTTTCTCTGTATTGTTTTGGAGGCTGTCGGTCCAGCCTGGCCTCAAACTCACAGAGATCTGCCTGCCTCTGCCTCCCGAGTGCTGGGATTAAAGGCGTGCGCCACCACCGCCTGGCTCACTAGAGAATTCTTACCTCTATCAATGCTCAGACCAAAGGGGCAATCCTGTCCTCATACTGCATCCTCAGACTACTGCCTCAAACTGTCATGAACTCCGGTCTCCTCCTGATTTATATTCCTCTCTCTGCCCAGACATATCCCTTCCTGCCTCCACCTCCTAAGTGCTGGGATTAAAGACGTGTGATCCCAAGTGCTGGGATCAAAGGTGTGAGCTCTATTTCTCTTTTAGACTTGATCAATTTTGTGTAGCTCAGGGTGGATTTGAACTGTCTACCTGTATGTCCCCAGTGCAAGTGCTGGGTTTAAAGGTGTGTACCACAACTGCCTGGCCTCTGTGACTAACTAGTGTGGCTAGCTTTGTACTCTGATCTACAGGCAAGCTTTATTTGTTAGATCATAAGCAAAATGTCACCACAGGGGAGGAGAATTCAGAAGGAAAAGGAGGAGGCATATATAAATAACACTAAGAATGTTTGAATGCAGCAGTGGTTCTCAGTCTTCAACTGCTTCAACCCTTGAACACAGTCCTCCCCACAACCATAAAATTATTTTCATTTCTACTCTATAACTGTAATTTTGCTACTGTTATAAATCATAATGCAAATATCTATGTTTTTCAATCATCTTAGGTGACCTTTGTGAAAAGGTTTGTTTGACCCCCCCAAGGGTTGTGACCTGTATGTTGAGAACCAGTGGCATAGAACATCATATTTCTTTATATTTACCTAAAATTACACGTGATAATGTAAGTCTTAACTTCATTTTACTTATTTTTATACCCACATCTTTATACTCTCATTTATAAAGCTTGTCTTTGCAGATGGCATAGAACAACATGGAAACCACAACTGATCAAAATTCAAAGAATAACAGACTGTGGCGTGCCAAGGCTTGATACATCTACAACACAACCTACACTTAAGGCTCAGACAGCATTTTAGAAGTGGGGGGTGGAAGTTATATGAGTCAAAGGACAAGGAAAACTACTGATATTGTGCCTTCTAGAAATGATGGGGAAGCTACAACTATGAAATCAATAGTATGGTTACCTAAACAAGACCTAAACAATGACACTACCAACTGACATGCCAGCATGTATGGGGGGGGGATCTCATGGTGTTCTACTCTAGATGAAGTCATTTAATGACTGGTGAGAGAGGGAGAAAATACCTTCTTCAGGGATAAGCATCCCAACTGGTTAGTTAATACCAACTGGTCAGTCCTGAAACCATATATACACAAGCAACACTAGCAAACTCAGCAGGTTGTATGTATGTACATTTTGTGTGTGCGTGTGTAAAACAATAATGAAAGCAAAGGAGGAGGCTACGGATTTGAGTGGCATGGCATGGGAGGAGTTAGATGAAGGAGAGGAAGCTGTGGGCGTGAGGTTATATTTTAATTCAAAATAAAGAAATCCAGCTAAGCTGGGCATGGTGACATAGGCATGGTGATACACCATTAAACCCAGCACTCTGGACAGGAAGAATGGATGGGGGAGTACGGACTTACACTTTGTGTACACGTGTTTAACTCCTAGCTCCAATGCAGGAGGGGCATGGAACCTGAAGCAGGCAGCATGACTCACTCACATCAATCACAAAAGACTGTCATGATTAATTCAGACCCACTTTAACTTTTGTTGGGATATTTTATCTCAGTCACAGGAAAAGAAAAGAAGATACAAGGTCCCAAGTTTCCCAACTGTGAAGTATGAGATAGACAGCATCTCCCACAGCATATGGCACATCACAAAGACCTTATTTGACGAATACAACTCAGACAGGAGGTGATTAGACAGGCATACAGGGGGTGGTATGCAAAAGAGCGTCTGTCTTCCAGGACTTTAAGTATTAGGTAAGAAGGGCGGCAGAAGAAAGTGCTGAACCAACGAGGGATATGTCTTTCTAATTGCTATTGAGTATATTACTCCAGAGCCAGTGGCTTAAAAATAAAATGTGATCTGCTCCCTACTAAGAATTACCTTTTAAATACAATGTACAATGTGTTGTATGGTAGAATGCAATGGAGCTTTCCCAATAATAAAGCTTATTGTAGAAATTACTGTGACTCATGAGTTTATTACTTAGGGTGATGGAGAATACTGACCTATGTAAATTGCGAAGTGGTAACTACCACCGTCAAACACAAGTCGCCATCAATGAGTGTTTCCATCCCTCGTTTCTAAGTACTCTTACACAGATTCTGTTACTTCACGCCCACAGCAAATCTAGGAGATACTTACTGTTATTATCCACATCTTCCTGGTAAGAAAGGATGACAAGACATTCAATTTACCCCCCAAGGTCTCAAAAAAGCTGGTAGCAGTCAAAACTGCGAATCAAGCAAGAACTTTCGATTCACGGCTGGGGGTGTAAAGCAGTGGTAGTTATCTGTATGGCTAGCATGTGAAAGGCCCCAATTTAATACCAACCTACAAAAATCAACTGATCACTCAACCAATCAGTCTTGGCTTCAAACACCAGACTGTTAAGTGCTGTATCATAAATCTCCCTGTGGAGGCAGGGCTGGGCTAACTCAATGACTGAAGCAAGGCCAGTATTAATTAGGTACTCCGTAAACTCCACAAAGCAGAAGGTTTGTTCTCCTAGACCCAGCTGACAAGGTCAGCTTCCTTTAACTGGATCAAGAGGATGACGCAGCATCTTGATTACCGTTGGGGAAGATGGACATTCCCAACACACTGGTCTGGACCACCCACCCCATTCTCCTTCTGCACATCTTCAAACTGCTATACTTACAGACCAAGACTAGCTAGTTCCATCTGCCCAATAATCTTGATGAAAGCATTATTTGAAAAGAAATATAACATTCAATTTTAGGCATGGAAAGATCAAATAAATTACATCATAGTGAAGGAAGGAATCTGTTCCACCGTGGAAAAAGCAACACAGGGTAAGAACAATTACAGCGTACTCAAGTGCTAAACAACCTTTTGACCAGATACATTGTTTGAAGATACTTTATTAAGATAAAAAATCTTTCCATTACATTTATCTATAAATCCATCATAGACCAAAGGAAAATAAATAAAAATCTGTATCTTTAGGGACATTTTGACTCCACAGTTTTGTAAATCTGAGTTTACATGTTTTCTCATTTTAAATTACAGCTTAGGTACACTCAATGATTATAGTACCAGGGATGTCAGCCTTATGGATGCCAAGTTTCCATATTACTTGGGGAAAACATGGCTATTGTTTCAATTTTATCTCTTTACATTCAGGCCACTCTAACTGGGAGGTGGACAAGGAGAACAGCATTCCACAATAAGTTCAGTTCTAACTATACAGACAAACACTGAAACACAGCTTTTCTCTCCAATAGTGGCTGGCACTCTATCCCAGGAACAGGCTGCTGGAAGCTAGGAGCAAAGAGTTCTTCTCCTTCGTGCTAGGAGGAGCACCGAGGTCAGAGAGCAGAGACAGGCCTCTTGCTACAGGTATCAACAGCTCTTTGTTGGCCTGGCTTATTACAGTTTAATTCAATCTCTTCATAAGCATCTAAATACAGTTAAGGCTATATGTCATTTTAAACTGCTTTTATTTCCATTGTTTTAAAAGAAATATTGTTTGGCTCTGGTCTAAAAGGTGCAGACATTTATATTTTCATAACATTCCGTCACCCCTACTACCTATAAGGACACAAAAATTCCACTGCACTATACAAGCTCTACCCCAAAAAGACTGGAGACAACAATCCCCAGATGAAGAAAAACAGTCAACGAAGATATCTCAGAGTAAGGACCATGGACTACCTAATGTACTCACAGACTGTCCTATGCTGGTATACATTCCTTATCATTCTTGATACAGAAACTTGCTTTATGAGAAGTGCAGACACTGCCTAAGGGATGGACTATTCTACCCAAACCAACTCCTTAAGACTTGTGCTTATAGACGGGCCACACAGGTCATTGGCTTCAGAAACGGAATATGATAACCATCTTATCTGTGTTTAAACTGCATGACTTACTGTTTAATTCATAAACACAGAACTTACATAGATTGTTCATTAGTCCAGTGATCTGGCTGCTGGGTGTGAATGGATAATGAGGTCACTAGAGCAGTCTCTGCTTCTGCTTGTCACATGTCTTAGAGAGAGCTAGCAGTGGAGACTACCAAACAGTAGTGAACACATAACATGCATGTGGGCCTGCCTGCCAAAAGGTCAAATATTTACATGGAATGTTGACCTTGTTTATAAAACTACTACTTTAAATTATATCTTTACATACAAGTTTATTTTATGAATAGCCTTATTTGACAACTAAAAAAATATGCCTTTCAAATATTTCACAAATATATAACATTTCCCTACATTTTATTTTTCTTTAAATATGATGTTTGAAACTCTATACAAAGCAACAAAAATAATTTTTGTATGAAAGACATAGATGTGGTGATTTTTCTACTGGCTAAATCACACTATTCACAAGAATGGCAGGAACTCTCTGAACATTGGACATTTGTAATGTTGTGAATTATTCACTTGCTGGAGACGTATAGCATCAAAGAAAAAGGAGAAAAATCATCTAAACATTTAAAAAATCCATTTTCCTTTAGAATAGGTTGAGATGGAATCTGGCCAATGTCAATCATTTTGGTGACAAAGAACTTAACACAATCTAAGGTTTCTAAAACAGACTCCAGCACAATTTAAATGTGTGGTGATTGCACACTACAAAAACATGATCACTTTTTCCTTAACTGTACTCTAACATGTGTGTTCTATATTTTAGAATACTTATTTTCATAACTCCAGACGTTTCAAAGTAAGAGAATAAAACATTTTGACTCCAGCAATGTCTCTTGAAAAGTAACAGATTAAAAAAGTGCTTTGTGATCACTGCTTGCCCTAAGACACCACCATTCTTACTAAACCATGAGGAAAGGGTTTTGTCTACATCTATAATGATTATTTAAATCTATTTCCAGGCTTGTTACAGTGGCATGTATCCATACTTGGGAGGCTGAGGCAAAGGAGGGCTGAGTTCAAGGCAAGTGTAGGCCCTCAACTTAAAAAAAATCATATTTTCCTTTATAGAATATCTGCAACATTTCTGATATGTACTCCAAAGGATTTCCTAAACTATGTGAGCTACTTCCTCAATAAAAAAATTGAGTTTCTCCTTTGTTTTTAAATGTGCACATTAGGAATATACTTTGTGGACAGGGGTCGTAAGAGGATGGGCTCTCATTTCAAGCTCAGTTAAATCTGATAAAGTCCATGCTGTGACTATAAGCATCCAAGGTGAAGGGCAGTGAGCACAGGGGAGGCATGGACTCTGATACACACTGCCCCTCACAACACAGGCAGAACTAAAGACAGCCAGGATATTCAAAGTTTTGCTAAGAGTATAGCACAGTGCAGATTTTAACTTTTAGATTGTGCAGTCATATGCTTCAAATAAGGCTGTAAAAGATATAAACAAAACCACATTACAATTTTATGAAGGCTTTACATCTATGACAGTGATATACATTTTTAAAAATCCTACCAAAAACATGGTAGTTGACCTAACCATGCACTCTGTAAAAAAGACAACTAAGGAAATTTTCCTGAGTTATGAATGTAACCAGCTCACTGGCACCCAATGGGTATCAGTCTCTAATTTGTCAAATGTTGTTTTTAGCTCATTAAATGCCACAGTGAGATCATCATTTACTATGATTTTGTCAAAAAGATGACCATATTGACTTTCCATTATCTGTGCTGATTTAATCATTTCTTGAAAATCTTCTTCCTATAAAAACAAGTATTAACAGAAATTAAGTAACCAGGCAATTGCATCATTTCATACTAGCAAACATTTTACAATGACTTTACTTAAAACTGTGATGTGTTCAGACTTTAAGCCAAGCCCAAAACAAAATCATCTTCCCTATCACAACTTTTTCAGGGTTTTAACTAACACCAGCTATAACTGGACTGTCTTCAGGGTCATCACTAACACACTGTTACATGAACACATCATTAATTAGCATATACATCAGGGCAGCCGTTGACCCAGCATGCACTCATAATATACTTTTGTTGTTGATGTCTTTTCCTTGGTTCATTTGGTGGCACTGGAATGAACCCAGAGCTTGTGCATGCTAGGAAGCCCTGAAACAGTGGTTAATACTACTGTTGAGGTTATTTTGTTGGAAACTCAGAGTCTTGCTGTAGACCACATTGGTCCCAAATATGCCAGGCAGAAGAGAATGAGCTCTAACTCTCCATTCTCCTATCCCAGCATCTTGAGTGTTGCTGCGGATTACAGAGGTGCATCACCATAACCAGCTCTACAAAGTAGATTACTGATTCATAAAAATAAGAAGAATTTACAATGCCATTGTTCAAAATGCACAGACTAAAGCACAACGACCTTTGGAGAATTCTATATCACCACTTCATCTGTAAAAGTGTCCCTAAATACTGTATGCATGCATTTCAGTGCTGCTTACATGATGGCTAAGCATCATGACACCCACCGTGAAGGGCTTTGCAGTCCCTTGATCATCTCTGCTTGAGATAATCTTTGCATTTTTCCTCGTCTCTCTCAAACGCTCTATGGATGGAGGTTTTATAAATATCACATAGGGCTTGAACTCCAGGGTCCTTAAATGCTTCACTGTCTGCAACAGAGAAAAGATCTTTTTTTCATAATCTCATGCATTCTGGATTTTCTAAGGAGAAAATTTCTTACAATTATTCTTTAATGTCAGAAGGTTATTATTCAGTCAGTTCCTGACAATAAAAGTGACAATCTCACTGAAAAGCAGCTAAAGAAGGCAACTTTTACTTTAAAGGTTTTGAAATTAACCATTGCTAATATAGGACACAGTGGGTAAAACCACCAGAAAACTAAGTACTAGACCAAAAGCTTCTTTTTAAAAGATGTGATGAGGTTGGTAACTTACTGTTTGTAAGCTGTCCATTTCGTTCTCATTCTCTCTGTTAGAAGTTAGAGTCTATGCAGTCTCTGTTTTCCATGAGGTAGGTCATCACCCCTGCATCAAGTGTCTCATTTTGTTTGGAGGCAGGGTCCTACTATGCAGCCTGGGACTGCATAGGTCTGCATAAGAGCCTGCCTAGGACTCCTAATACTCTTGCCTCAATTTCCTGGGTGCTGAATTATAGGTATGTATAAACGCACGTGGGTTGATTTCATTTTTCATTTTGTTCTTCTCTCATACAATACATTCAAACTATAGTTTCCCTTCCCAGCACCCCTACCTCCCCTCTCTTTCAGATCTATTTCTACTTCACTTCCCTTCAGGGAAAAAGACCCAAAGCCAAACCAAAACAAAACAAAACAGGCCTCTCAGTGATATAAACTGAGCACAGCTTAACAAGATGCAATAAGACTAGGTACAAATCCTCATATCAAGGCTGGGTGAGGCAACCCAGTAGGAGGAAAAGGGTCCCAAGAGCAGGCAAAAGAGTCAAAGACAATACCCACTCACACTGTTAGGAATCCCACAAGAACACCAAGGTAACAACCATAACATATATGCGGAGGGCCTAGTATTGAACCATTCAGGCTCTGTGATTGCTGTTTCAATCTCTGAGCGCCTCTGAGGCCTGCTTACTTGATTCTGTGGGCTGTGTTCTCCTGGCATCCTTTGATCCTATAATTGGCTCCTACAATTCATACCTGGGTTTTTAAGTGTTGACTCCTGCAGATTGAACTCTAGTCAAGGGTAACTGACAACAGGGCCAGAACTGAGAGATATTATTGATCTCTACATGAGGGCCTCTGCAGAGACTGGGTATGTCATATGCCCCACTGTGAGGTTAAGTAGATAGAAGCCATGTGTTAAATAGAGAGAGACAGTGACGATGAGGATGAGAGGAGAATGACAGAGTTGGGAAGGCATAGAGGTGCAGGAGAAAATGCACCGGATAGGTCTGGGAATAACCGGCTCCAGTACATAGATAGGGAACTGAGAACAAGCAGGAATCTCCCACTTCTGCCTGGTTGCCTGGACAGAAGGCAGCCTCCAAGTTGATGCTAAGGATTCTCTAATTCCAGCTTCTCAATCCCTAATAGGTGTGGAGTTCTTCTGTAATTGGGAGGCTAAGCATGCCAGAGCACCACCATCATTAGAAGGAGAACCTTTGGCTTCAAGAGGACTAGGGCAATGCTGGGCTTGGGTACCAATCAGAGGATCAGGAGATTGACATAAGGAACTGAATGTTTTGCCCACTGGCCTTAGTTCAAAGTACCCATAAGAGGCCCCTAGGTGATACATGAGATCTCCTTGTGGTGTCTCAGACAAGACATTACTGAACAGTGCCTCATAGGTCTGCTGTGCTTTAAATGCCTACACTGTGTACAAGATCAAATTAGAGCAAGAGAATTATGATCTAAAGTGCCACTGTTATGTATGCAACAATTTTTAAAGATTCTAAGTAAGCATGTAATAGCCAGCAAACTTGACTGAATAAAAACAAGAGATGTAAACACTGACCTCGGGACTTCTCCTCTTATTTTCTAATAACACTACGCCTTTATTTTTCTTAACCCACCTACGTTTAAATGAGGAGACTTCACATGCCGCAGGAGGCTCACAGGGAACTGCACGCTTTGTTTACTTACATGAGGCTGGACATCCAACAGACAAACTTTGTTCTTAGCTAGGACAGAGCGAACCGAGTCTATACTTGTACCGTAGTAGTTGTTTTTATATTCACCATATTCAATGAACCTGTAGAAAATTAGACACTTGTTAGAATGGTTTGCGAATATGAAAAAAGCAGGCGGCAAGTTATACTTCATAGGCAAAAGATATTTTTGCTGAACATGTAAAAATTTTTTGCTGTATTTAATAAAATAAACAGAACCAAGCATTTCAGCAAATGTCAATTTAAAAAAAGTCTCCAACATTTTCAAATCAGTAACACTTGCTTGTATTACACTTAAGCCTAAAAAAGTACTTTGGTTCAGTAGAGCGCTAACGTTTTCCATCATCCCCTTTCAGAACTAATGCAATGCAATAAAACAGTGAATAAGCCAAACAATAGAAACTACTGGAATTTCACTGCACACTACAGAGTAGCAGAGCTGGGCACTGGAGCCACAGGAGCTGGGAGGTGGCTAATGGAACCAGAGCAGCGATTATGTGCTATAAAAACACAGTCATAGGGCCAAACTTGAAGAAAGCATTTTGATGTTGCAATAAAATCCCACAATACTGCGTGAAAACACACCCTACTTCTGACGCCCTGCGTAGCCACACCTCAGCAATGGAAAACTGGGGGAGGGTGGAGTAGGAGCTGGCTGGAGGAGATGGTGTGCGCAACACGGCAGTTCTATTCCGAAGTTGCGAAGGGCCGATGTGACACTAAGGTGTATGAGGAAGACTAGGGGGCGAGCACTTAGCCGCTAACTTTTAAGTCCTACCTAAGTTACATGTTGAGATTACATTGCTGGACAGGAAAAAAAGTCACAGAAACATACTGGGAAGTTTCCCTCATGCTTCAAAATAATTCCTATGGGCTTAGCTGAAATGTGGTAGCTCCCAGATACAAAAACAGAAAAAAAGAAAGGAAAAGAAAGCAAGAAAAAAAATAGATGTGAACATTGGTTATTACTAACTGAACTACCACTTTTTAAGGGCTTCAAATAGTACTGTAATAAGTAAAATTCACCTCAAATAGAAGGGAACCTTAGGCTATTTAAAACTAGATATACAGGCACCAGCTTAAGGAACAATAATAATGAGGGGAAAAAAATCAACAAAATTTTCACATACTTGTTATTTTGAACATCTGTCTCAAACAAATGTTTGGAAATAAATATATATTCCACACCATCACTCTCTTGGCTTCTTCTTGCTCTAGTGGTATCTGTGATTGGATAGGAAAGGAGTTGAGAAAAGTTTACATCAGCTACCTTAAATTGTTATAAATAAATCAAGTACATTAAATTAGTTTGCTACATGAGATTTAAAAACATAAAGGAAAAAATGAATTAGTCACTATCATACAGTGGAGTAAAAATTGAGACTTTTCCATTGTTGTTACAATATTACGACTGAAGATCTAATTGCACCACGGGTCTGATCATTACTCACACCTTTGAAGAATCTTTACTATGAGAGAATACATAAAAGTAGCCCTATGTACAGAGTTTAACCTACTCTCCAGAAAATCACCTTTCTTTTGCAAATAACCTGCTTATTATGTTGTATACTGATCTTTCCTTGCTAAAGCAAGCATACTTATTCACTGGGTAGAAGGCAGAGCCTTCTTCACACAATGCACAGCGAGTACCTTTGGTGTTCTGTTTTACTAACTGGATGAAATCAAATACCTCTGCATGTTATTTACCCCCCCTAAAGTTACTAAATAACAGCATCTTGCAACCTTTTGACAATGTTGCCTACTTACTTTTTTTTTTCTGAGACAGGGTTTCTCTGTGTAGCTTTGGAGGTTGTCCTAGAACTCACTTTGTGGACCAGGCTGGCCTGGAACTCACAGCGATCCACCCTCTGCCTCCCGAGTGCTAGCATTAAAGGCATGTGCCACCAATGCCTGGCTGCCTACTTATTTTTGAGTGAATTATAAAGGAACAGAAAATATAGGCTGGTGGAAAAACAGTGACAAGACACAATGCTGTCCAGTGTGGACACACACATAAAACCCCACAGCAGCCTTACCCTTCCTGCTCTTACAAACAAAAGCTCTGTATGCCTGATAATTACCTGAGAATCTTAACACTGTACAAAAAAGGAAGGATACTGAAGGCAGAGAATCTGCACGAAGCATGGCATACTGGTAACAAGGCAGGGCTAGGTTTCTGTAGGTAGTTAGGGGAAAGGACTATGCAGCTAATCATAAATGTTATGCTGAAAACACATGTTGGACTTTAAAAATGTTAGAGTTAAATGAGTGAGGCAGGGAATGTCAAGGGAGAGAAATAAGAGGGCCTGTCGCTGGGAATGAGACAGCCAAGCCGAGCAGGGAAGAGAAAGGACAGGAGCTCTAGGCAGCAAGGCCAATGGTGGCAGGCTGTCTGTCTGTCTGTCTGTCTGTCTTGAAGCCCTTGGGGACACTACATAAGATACTGATGATTCTCACTCATGTTTCTAGTGACACTTAATATAACTGACTACACTCTGGGGAAAGACGGCTTTTAGTGAAGGAGTTTCCTCTATTCCAGATAGGAGACAACCCCAGATCACTCCATGGAGAAGGAGCTAGATATGAGACAGTAAAGACTGAGGGTGCGACTTGGTGGCTGTGTTCAGGTGATAGCTGGTGGTGAAATACAAACTGGACACATACACACTGAGGACAAAGAGCAGTGTGACAGCTGCAAGGTTGGCAGTGGCCATTCAGGCCCTGACTGAGTAGCACGCAGTCAAGATCATGCTACCCCTTCCTGGATGAGCAGCCTGTAACAGCCTGATTATGGACCTGGCTGGACTAGGGGACACACACAGAGCACACTGGCCCTCCACTGACTTTGACTCAAATGTGCTAAAAAAAATTAACCAAACTCAATGGAAGCCATGTCAGTCTTTGCCCCTGCTGCAGTCTACGAAAAGCCCTAGGCAAGCAGCCCCAGGGCTTCTCTTGCCTTGGAACGCCTTGGACTGACGGGGATTTCTCCCATTTTTCCTCAATTCTTCTAAGCAAAGGCGGCTTTCACTCTACCCACTCCCATTTGTCTGTGTCTTTAATACTCACTGGTGTGAGACAGCAAACTCAGGAGCCACCATCCCAGTTAACTTTTGGAGACCCTTGAGTTCTAGCACCCGAGTCTCCAGGCAGGTGTACCTGGGTTGAAAAAGGCCCTGGACTAAAAAAAAAGGCTTATCAAAATCAACAGGGTGTGTGTGTGTTGGGGGGGGTTGAGTGTGGCAGGGACCCAAAAGTGGGGAAAGCACACAGAAGGGAACATGTTAATTCTCCTTAGAAACCAACACTGGTCTAAGAGTAACTTCTGCCCTTGTGTGTGCAGCTCAGATTCGAACCAGCAGAATTTGTTTTAAGGAGTGAGTTTGGGTGCTGGAGAGACAGCCTGAGCTCTTCCAGAGGTTCTGAGTTCAATTCCCAACAACTACATGATGACTCATAGCCATCTACAACGGGATTTAATGCCCTCTTTCTGGCATGCAGGCATACAGTCATACAGCACCATATACATAAAATAAATAAATCTTTAAAAGTTAAAAAAGAAGTATGATTAGAATACACATATCTTAGGCTAATCTCTGAATAATGGGGTGAACCATGCGCACGCGCACACACACACACACACACACACACACACACACACAATAGGCTTACAGTACCCGACTGTACACAGGCCTTATACTCATCTTTGAGCCAGGACATACTGAAAGCACAGCACACACAAATGAATGGAACTTAGGACCTAATATAACATAGTTGAGAAAAGTGCTACAATAGATACACCCATAGTCTCCAGAATTTATATCAGGAGGCATCATTAACATGTTCACAATATTAAAATGCAACACAAAACGATACAACATAAAGGAATCACAAAAACATTACCAGTTCTTAGGGGAAAAGATAACAGATAAACCCCTGGATGACCTAGATGTTAGAACGTCACAGACGTTAAAGCAACTGCTGTAACTATGCTTCAGAAAGGAAAACATATCTTAATTGAATGAAACTATGAAATTTTAGCATAGAAACAAACCATGAACAAGTAAGTAGATACAATGTGGATGGAAACAAACCACTGGAAGGCTCAGGAGTATAACAGATTTTTTAAAAAAAAGGAGCCAGCAAGCTTAAAGGCAGAACAATAAAACTTATAGAGTCTGAAAAATGAAGAGTTAAACCATGAAAAAGTATAAATGGAAGGCAGGGACCTGCATACAAATGCTGAATGTCTATGACATGTATAACTGGGGTGCTAATCATGAAACCAAACTGGGGATAGCCAGCAAATACTCAAGGGAAAAATAATGACTAAAAACTTGTAAAAATTTGGGGAAAAGGCACAAATTCATACATTGCAAAAGTCCAGCAGATCCCCAAATAGTTTTAAAAACATGCCTAGACATAAATTAACAAGCCTCAAACTAGAAAATGAGTACACATGGGGAATGGTAACTTCAACTACCGCAGATTTTAAAAATCATTGAAGCACAAGATCCCTGAAACAACATTTTTGACATAACTGAAAGAAAACTGTTACTAACCAAATCATCTTTCAGGAAAAAGGGCAAAGTAGCACCCTTCTCCAATGAAACAAACCAGTGCTCACTTCAGGAATAAAGTGATAACAGTCCAATAAACAAGTCGGTCCACTATTTCTTCCTAATTCAATGAAATACAGATACTTTCAAGTAAAAGTTATATGGTCAGAAAGGTTTCTTTTTAATTAAAAGTTTATTTTGTTTTGGTGCGTGCGTGCGTGTGTGTGTGTGTGTTTGTGTGTGTGTGTGCGTGTGTGTGTGCGTGTGCGTGTGTGTGTGCGTGTGCGTGCGTGTGTGTGCGCGTGTGAGTGAGTGTGTGTGCGTGTGTGTGAGTGAGTGTGTGTGTGCGTGTGCGTGCGTGTGCGTGTGTGTGTGTGAGTCAGGATGTGTGTAAAGGCTCCTGTATTATTCAGGACCCACCCACTTTGTTTCTTTAGACAGGGTCCCTCCCTAACTTGAGACTTACCAGGTAGAGCTAGTCTGGCTAGCCAGAGAGCTGCAGGGATCCACCCATTTTTGCCTCCCTATCACAGGAGTAGGCGCACATGCCACCACTTGTGATGTTTTACAGTGTTGTGGAGACAGAAGTCAGAATACCCTGCTTACAAGCACTTTCCCAGGTCAGCCATCGCCCCAACCAGTCTGCTAATTTCTAAAAACATTAAGCCTACAGTCCAGCCATTCCCTTACTTATTTGAGGGAAACAAAAACCTATGCCTTTTCAAATTCTTGTGCACAAAGTTCACCATAATGCTGGGTCTGTCGATAGTCAACAGTGAGGGTGGGGGAACAACCTCAGTTTCCACCATCAGGTGAACACCAGACAGACTGAAGCATTTCCATGCCAAAAAATGCCAGCCAAGAATTACTGATGTTTGAGACACCAAACATCATAGAGATTGTGGGTGCAAGGCAAACGCAGGCTGAACTGGAAAAAAAACCCCAAAAACAAAAACCAAACCAAATCAACCAACAAGCAAAAACCCTGTGCAAGGCAAATTGGTTTTCACTGTGTAATTCAACACAAAATGCTGAGGGTTAAAATGAGTCCCCAGGCGATGAGTACAGAGCAGCACTTGACAGGCTCGGGGCAAGGCCTGGCCCAGGCATGGACATTTCTGAGGTGAAATTCCTCATTATGCCTGTGATGCATGTACATGTGCAGACAGAGGCTGGAAAAGATCTATGCCCATTTCACATATTTTATTTTCATCTTTTTAAAATAATGTTCAACAGAAAACTATGAACTAGGAAAAGTAAATTTAAAAAAATCATTAAAAATTTATTTATTTATGTGTGTGGAGTGCAAAGGTCAAAGGACAACTTGCTGAAATGCTGCTTCCCTCCTTCCTAGGGATCAAACTCAGGTCCCTCAGGCTTGGTAGCAGTCTCCTTTATCTGTAAGCCATCATGCCAGCCACAAAGCAATGAATTGTTAAGTCCAAATAACCCAGCTATGTTCCAAACCCTAATTCTCTTTATGGAACCAGCAAGTATATTTGAATACAAAGCTCCTCCAACAGTCTCTCACTCCTCCCCATGGAACACCAAGAACTATTGCTGTTCTTAATGGAATGTCACAGTCTTTCCAAAAGGAGGATTAAGGACTGATAAATTTTATTCCATCATGAAAACAAGCAACATATTTCACAGTAGGAAATTATTTTGTAGAGTATGTATTATATATGATACATATTCAAGAGTAGAAACAATATTAAGAGAGTACTTTATTCTGCTTTGGGAATGGGGTTAAATTCATTTATTATTTTTGCTGTTGATATGTTGTTAGTCTTCTAGAACATGGATAGTTCGAGCTCTGTGAAAACACTGATCCATCTCTGCCTGAGAAACCTCAAAAAATGAAGAGGAAATACGGGCAACAATGAAAGGTGTTCAAAGCCTGGGCTAAGTATTTGGATGCCATAGTTTCAAGTGTAATACCCACCTACTGCAGAACCTTTTGTTAGCTACATTTCAGCTGTTTGAGCCCAAGAATAACAGCACTTACTAGATTTAGTACCTCTTTAAAATACTGTCACACGCTGTATGATGACATCATGCATTATGGAACGCATACTTGACAGTAGCCTCATAGATTATCTAGTAACATTCATGCCAGTTTAGTTATACTAAGTCCAAATGATAAAACTACATAAGGACACATCTTTTCAAGATGAGTACTTTCACTAAAACATGTGACTGCCTTTATATGCGGAAAAAATGATATATTCAAAATTATTTATGAAAACAGTACAGCTGGTCCCTCAGCTTCTTCCAGTAATATTGACACAATTGTAACACAGCATCAAAACCAAGAAGTAAAATGCTAATGAGTTATAATTAGTTGAACTATAAGGAACTCTATTTTAACATTTAAAAACCAGACTAGGAAGGGGAGGAAGAGGGAGCTAGGATTGACATGTGAAGCAAACTTGTTTCTAATTTAAATTAAATTAAAAAAAAAACCAGACTAGGATATAGGAAAGCTTGCATATAAGCCTTACATAAGTGAGTTTAGATATTATGTATAGGTGTATTGCAAGGACTAATGAAACCCCAGAGATCAGAACAACCGTATGATCAGTGCTCTAACACAAAGCAGAGCACAGCCAGCCCTTGAATTCCACTTGAGCTACCTTCCTAGCCCATCTCCACAGGTTCTCTCAGCACACACTACAGTTGCTGAAGACTTAATGCATGCTCTCTTTTGGACCTGTTTTCTTCTGATACAGTAAAAACAGGTGGTAGCTTCAGGAGGAGCACAGGTTAAAATGCAAGACTGGAAACACCAAGGAATGTAAAGAGGGCTTGCAGTTGAGTATGAGATGACCAAGCTTATCTGATATGAAGGAGGACAGGATCTGGGAAAACAGCAAAGTTAGTGTTACCAGGTCCACTGACTTCCACTCTTTTGAGCCCCCACCAAGGAGCATACATAAGTCAGCCTTGTGCATAGCTTTGCATCCAATGCAGCTATTTACAACAGACTAAACCGTAAGCAAGATCAGCTTCTAAGAAGCCCCCATTTATCCCAGAAAGGAGATCATCTCAGATCACCTTGCACACAGGAAGCTAAATATGAGGCAACCAAGAGCAACATCAGCTATATCTTGATAGCCACAGGAGGAGTTGACTCCCCATAGACAGTAAAGGAAAATGGTCAATGCTAACACTACAAGCTGGTCATGTAAACATGTAAACAAGCAAACAAAAGCTATACTCTCACTTTTCCTCCCCTTAAAATTTTTGTTTTCACTTTGCTTATTTCCATGTGTCTATGTCTTTAGTAACACCGACAGACAATGAACTCCAAAGCTATTGACTCAGGTTGTCTTTTAGTGACTAATGAGTGTCTGGCACCCTAGTTCCCCAAATCTCCTGGGCTGAGACACACCTGTGCTCCCAAAGATCTGCATCACTCTTCCCCAGTGTACTCTTTATGGAATCACTTCATAGTATAGGCAGTTACAGAGTGCTATCCCTATGTACTGTAGCATCTACTATGCAAATAAGCTGTGATTTACCTATCTACTCATTACTGGTGGCATCTGGTAGCTTTCAGTTTGGGTAGGTTATAAAGAATGTTTCTAAGAATGTCATAGTACATGCCTTTGGTTGACAGCACACACATATCAATTGGGTGTGAAATTAAATTTGTGGCTCCTATGGTATTTGTGTAGTTTTATCGTGGTTAGTTTTTTCAAGTGTTGACCTGAGCTCCCTATCAATGCACAAAAATGACACAACTCTACATCGCTTATAATCTACCGACTCCAATGGCTATTTAATGTGTGTTTTAGAAAAGAGCACTGCAGAATACTACTGTAATCAAGCAGAATACTACTGTAATCAAGACAGGACGTTTTCTCTAAAATTCCAGGCTCTGATCAAAGTACTTTGCAAAACAATACAATCTGAAATTGCAAATCTGATTGTTAAACCTTGAGCTGCTGCTCCAGCTGGGCATGTCAGACACCATGAATCACTGGGGATACTTGTTGTAGATACACAACTTAATAAACCTTCTTCTATGAGCCTGAAGGATATCTTACCAGGCCTGGCAAACATTCTGCATAGGAGTCTTTGGGCATTAACATATGTACAAGTGAATTCAAGCAGGAAGTAACTATAGTAAGGGACTCTTCAGCCAAGTCCAAACCCTGGTACTTTCTTGACATTGTCTCGATAGGATCTTAGTGTCTGGTTGACCTGAGGCCCAAGTGCTTTGCTTTGGAATTCCCAGCAGTACTACAACAATCACAGCAGGCCACCTCTGATATATACAGTGCTTTCCCTCAAGAGGAATCTGTTTTACTATTTACTGGGCTACAGAAGTTTGAAATGACAGTGCTACAAAGGAGAGAATGAGAAGTGTCATGCTTAGAACATGAAGTATCACCACAGGACCATGTTCTGCTGTTCCACAGCTGGCAAGACTATTTTCAGAGGCTCTGGAGCCTTCAGAGGGTGGGCCTTTAACAGTGGAAGTAGATTACTAGGGGCAAGCCTTTGAAAGTATAGGCTGGTCTCCAGTTCTGTCCTTGTTCTATGCTTCTGGGTTCTCTATCAAGTGCATAGTCTCAACCACACATGATCACTGCCATGCCTTCCTCACCAGGATGGAATCAATTCCTTTCTCTCTGAGGTTGGTTGTAACTGAGTTTCCCTAAGCCATTTGGCCCCAAACAAACACACAAAGACTCATATTAATTATGAAACTAATGGTTGGTGGCTTGGGCTTCTTATTGGCTAGCTCTGTCTTAATTATTAACCCATTTCTATTCTATGTATTTCCACGTGGTCTTGGCTTTCTGGAGAATGCCTTGCGCATCCTTTCTTCCTGGACTCTACATGACAACTCCATCTACCTATGTTTCCCAGAATTTTCTTCTCCTAGCCCTGCCTATATTTCCTGCCTGGCCAATCAGTGTTTTATTCATCAACCAATAAGAGAAACATATATACAGAAGGACAACCCCCATCAGTTGGTACTGTCAGGTACTGTTTTCACATTGAACAAAAGTAACTAACTAGAGAAGCAATGTCATAAAATCTGATCCCAAGTACTAGTGAAATATCCTTTCAACCAAGGTCCTCCTCCTAGTGAAGCATCCTTTCAATCAAGTTCCTCCTCCTAGTGAAGCATCTTTTCAACCAAGTTCCTCCTTCTAGTAAAGCATCCTTTACATGCAGGTCCTCCTAGTGAAGCATTGTTTCAACCAAGGTCTTCCTCCTAGTGAAGCATCTTTTCAACCAAGTTTCTCCTCCTAGTGAAGCATCCTTTACACGCAGGTCATTCTCTGTGAATCTGTTCTACACTGCTGCATGGAAGGTTATATAAACCAGGACATATAAAGGGCATGACACAGCAGGAAAGTGATACATCTTATCTGAAATTTTTAGGCTTCTCCCACAATCATGCACCTGATAAGTGTTTGGTAAAAATTTTCTAATTATCTATACATTTGAATTCAACATCTGTATGAGAAGGGAATTAAAAGGAAAAAAAACCCCTGCACCATTCCACATATTTCTTTACTTTCATCTTGGTTGTTGAAAACCAGAAGTCCCCTTACTTACAGCTAAAAGTGATTACAAACAGTAATTTGGAAAAATGTAGTAACAAGAAGTAACTGGAGGTAGTAGAACACTGTAATTTAAAAACACAGTTGAACTCTTCCAAAACTAGAGAACATTGCTAAGGGCAATATACAAATGATTTTTTTAAAATGCAGCACTAAAACCACTTGAAAAAGCCAACATTTCAATTTGGCCTTTCAGACAGCTTTCTAACATCAACATATTAAGTAGTCAAATGGCATTTATTCTGGAGATCAAAATGTTTCAAGTATCGTATTTCATTTGTAAAAATGCATATGAAAACCATTTTTATAAAAATAGATCTAATTCCGTGTACCCAAAAGAAGCCTACCATGTTTGGCCTATTAAACTGTGGAAAGCCTATTTGAAACGCTACCTGCCAATTACTACATATAAAAGGTAATTAAGAAACACTGGTGCTATGAGACGTCTCCCCTGGCTTTCTGTGGTTTAGTCTTTCTAATCATAAAACTGGTGAAAAATTTTGGAAAACACTAGCACTTAGGTGGGAGAACATAACAGCAAGACTTTCATTTAGAAGATAATTTGTAGCTATAGGCTGGTGTCATCTTTGCATTAAGAGTCACCATGAAAATCTCAAGTAGGTAAGTTGAAATAAAGAAATAACCCATCATTAATCTGTGGAGTGCGGGGGAAATCCCTGAGTCTCTGGTACCTCAGTTCCTTCTCTAAATGTGATGTCACTGTGTACCGTACAGGGATGAGTGTGGTCTAGTGGAGAAATGTTGAGGACAGTAACCAGCATCGTGCAAGCTCCCTAAGCCATACAGTCATTGCTAACGTCCTCAGAGAGCCACTGTTTGCTAGAGGACTCACGGGGCACTGTCACACCATAGTGCTGTGTGTCACTGATCAACAGCTTCCGCTTCAGCTCGTTTAGCCCGACCCCAACAGGACCTGAAAAACAAGACAGAGAGACTAAGAACAAGGGTCCAACCCTGCATTCCAAGCAAGGAGTCTATTTCTAGCTAAGCTGTACACAGGAAAAGAGTTGCTGCAGAGTAGTTTATATGCCTACTTTTCTTCCTAAAAAAAAACATATTCAAGAATACCATAGCATATTACCAAATAATCCATGTTCAACAGCCTAAAATATGTTCACCTACACATTGTTTTGTACTTCATTTTTAAATATTTTTGGATTTCAATAAAAAGAAAACCATTGGCATTGACTTAATTTTGGAAACAAATTCATTTACACATTTTAAGTGTGCAAAGCCATGTTCACACTGACCTCTGTCATGACATCCTACCCTATAGAATTTCAGACAGTCCTAGGCATCTGAAAGTCCACAGGCCTTACACATTTAAATCAACCAAATGCACACACACAGAACATATGATAAACAAGGCATGTGCGATGACAAAGAAAGATGGCAGATACACATTGCATCTATTGAAAGTGGCTAGTCAATGAAGCTATTGGGGCTAAACAAAAAAATACCCGAGGAGTGGTTGTGAACAGTAGCCTGAAATCCAAAGTCATAAGGGTTATCAGCCTCAGCGTTGGCATCCCTTCCCCATCTTAAACATCACACAGCTCATGGTTAGGTCTATGAATGAACTGTAGAGAGACGCAGACAGTGCACTAACCCGAGGCCAGCCTACCTACAGCTAGGTCCCCACTTAGTGCCCATCCAAAGTGCACCTCCTGTGATACTAGAGAAGGTGAAAACCCACCCCAGCAAGGTCAAGTGCACCCTCAGTCAGCATCACAAAGCTCCCTTTCTTGGGAGAGGGATGAGAACTCAGTACAGAACAGGCATCTTACTCTGCTTTCTTTTATCTCCCCTTTCTCCTCATCTGCGGACCAGAGGGATCCTAGCGAAAGGGTGATGAACTTGCAGGCAAAAAGAGATGAGGCCAGCTGGTGGGCACTGTGTGTGAAGGGAACGGTGTGAGGAGAGGCAAAGGGGCAGCACTGGGCACCATATCTTCCTTCCCCACGGGCACTTCCACCCCCACCCTGTCCCACTGCTGCCTTCAACCTTTTCTCCACTACTTCTGGAAGCCTGCTTCTCTGTCTCTTCCCTTTGTTTCCTAAGACTCAATGACATGCTCAAGTGGTATTCACAGTTACTACAACTTAGTAGAACACACAGTTTCCTCTCCAAATTGATATGCTCCTCTACAGATAGCATAACAAAGAAAAGAAATAAATGTAATTTCTGACAATACAACTTGTATTTCAGTATACATACACTTGGCATGATCAGAAGGACAATGTGCAACAAAGTCAGATGTTTGCATTCACCTAGGAGTTCAGATTTAAGGGCTCAAGAGCCAAACGAGTACTGAAGCAAGACCCCTGGGTAGAGACAGAGGCAACACTAGCATTTGGATAAAAACCATGACCAGGTTTACCTGAACATGAAGAGTCATGGATCTGCTACTGAGATGTCCTCCCTAAAGTTAGGTTAAAAGATTGGATGGCAGCTGATGTGACTGGATCATAAGAACTTGGCTTGGCCAATGGCTGAATGGTGGAGTCAAGGCAGAAGGCATGCCTTGCCCTTGGAGACTGTCTCAGTTTCATTCTTCTTCTTGGCCACCATGAAATGAGTAGCATCCTCCCCACCCCCCATGCTCTTCCACTCTGGTGCTTCTGCATTGCCAGGAGTCTCAAAGCAATGGAGTCAGCTGGCCATGGCTCGAACCTCTGAAGCCATGGGCCCGCATAAATCTTACTCATATTAAGCTGTTTGCTCAGGAATTTTGCTATGCTGACCAAGGTGACGATCATAAAGAGAAAGAGGGAGGCAACCTTAATGGGTCAAGTGTATCAAAGTGAAAAAAATACAAATGACTGGGCTTGATCTTAAGGGCAGCGTGAGAACATTAACCCGAGTGATGGAAGTGCATCCAATGCCACAGAAGGCTGGCTTTTAGCCCTACCCTAACTTTGGATTGTGTACCAAGTTCATGGGTTTCCTACACTTTCCCACTTCAAAGGACCTACCCCACTAATTACACATGCTTGCTTACTCGCCTTGATCCTCTAACAGACTGTGAGGTCTCTGAATACAAAGACATCTCCTGCCTTACTCACCTACTATTTCCACAGCCGGCAAATTAAAGGCACTTAAGTGTCTGCTTCGTGTTACTGGAGCAAGAGCCCAGGATCTCACACGTGCTAGGCAGGTGTGCCACATCCTCAGGGCTGAGATCATTTGTTTCAGTTTCACACAACATGTGCTATCATGGGGGTAAAACGTGAGTGAGCTACAGGCATGGGGGTTGAGGTTAAAAAGCATCTGCACCTAGGTCACCTGGATGTGGCAGTCAAGTGATACATTCCAGGACACATATGGAAGAGGACTCTTAATTTACAGCAAAAGCAGAACAGACGGTGACAAATACTGTGTTGCACTGTGAGTTTTAGGAAGGAACTCTAGTTCCCTGCATCCTGCCAAGGGCCACGATACATTAAGGAGGAGAGGGCTGAGAATCCTGTATAAATGTTCACACAGTAAAACCTGATACTGGAGAGACCTCTACGTCGAATGGCAGGGAGATAGGCACTTACTGACGGTGCCACTGAAACCACACAAAGGCTACATATTCTATAAGTCACAAAAATATAAAGAACATATTCTTGAAAAAAGAAAAGGAGTGTTTCAATGGAATACCATTGTGTGTACCTTCCGTGTATAGGTGAAGTGAACCCAGTTACTTATGTGCCCAAGCATGCCAAATACTGGAGCATAGCAGACCCTGCTCCAGCAAAGAAGATGGTGGAAAATGGGTGTTTTTCATAGGTCTCAGCCCTGAAGCTCTTCCTAGAATGGGAGACTCTTTGAGGAGAAACTCTATTTCATGTCCTATCCACATTACAAGCAAACAACCTAAGAACAAACACCCACCCCCCCAGCCTCCAAAACTAATGATTCACTTTAGCTCAGGAGAAAAAACTAGGTGTATGACTTAGTAGGGAAAGTTATGACAAGCCCAGGATGTCACTCCTAAATTCTGGTCACACTCACTTTCAGTCCCATGGACCTCATCCTCACAAACCAATTCCAGCCACCCAGTCATGACGTTCCACTCATTCGCCCAGGACTAGAGGAAAAGATTTTGTCTGAATTTCCCAAGGTTTACATTATTCTCGATCATAATCTAAAAGGTAGACATGGTCACATTAGAAGTCAAAAGGACAGAATTTCAAATCACTATAAAACTGCTTTCCTGTAGGGTTCCTGCTCATTTCGCACCCATGCTGAGGAGGGATGTCAGTCTCTCATTGACTCCAAAAAAACAAAAACAGAAACAAAGCCCCACATTCACACCTGTGCCCTATAACCCCTTTTTCATGATTGGGTGCAACCACAGCACTTTCAGTTAGCTTCATTATATTTAGAACATATGATCTATGTGCAGGCAATGTAGGGATATGACCAGGTTAGCTCATGCATGTGCCTCTGCTAAGAGAATTCACGGTGTCCTTCAATGCATTCATGTGTACATAAGCAGATGACTTTATAGTTTGTTTTCAATGGTTCTTGTTAATCACAAAGTGGATGGAGGTTTATGCTGAAAATCTTCAGCTCCTATGGCTTTGGTTTGATGGGGATTGTAACAGGAGAGGCTTTCATGTGGCAAGCATCTGTTAAACAAACTTCAACACATCTCTAATGGTGCCGTTATCCTCGTGTTACACAGGAGGAAGCTAAGACAATGGGAGGTGATTTCTTGGCTAAAGGCTGCACTTGAATGTGGCTCCCAAGTTATTCCAAAGTTTCTGTGACTGGCAAGTCTACACTTCCCCACACTGCCTACATCTCATCTAGATAGCCTCGATAAAGCATGAAGTCAGGCTCTGCACTGTCTGTGGTGATGGCTTCCAATGTCCAGGCTTATTCATTCCTTCCTGGTGCCCATACTTCCAATGGTGATGTATATGCTTGTGCCTAAGAAAACTGGTATCAAGAAAAATCAGTTGATCTCTCCACATACATCCTGAAGATACTCCAAGACACTCCAGGAAGGCTAAAATAGCCCTACACGTGGACCAGACCTGGACAGCTTAGATGCATCTACTACGGTATTTTCCATTTCTGATTACATTAACTAAAACACACTGGAGATGATGCACAAGTGAAAGCCTCACAGCTCACTGAATTGACTCTAGTGAATTAATTTGAAATTGAGATGGAAAACTAAGGTTGATGTTCTGTTCTCTTTTTAAAAAGAAAGAGTGCTCATGGTCAAGCCAGGAATGCCATTCTGCAGCTGCTTTGTAATAGAAACAGTCTCTCCTGGAGGAAGGAGTGAGAGTCTCAAGAATTGGGAATGTTGCCAAGAAAGGTGTGCCATTCATAGGGCCCTCCTCAGCAGTACATAACTGCCACAGGGAGGAGAATCTTGGGTGCAGCTGCTTGTGTTGTGTAGGGAGTTCCAGGGATGCAGTTTTCGTAAGCCATCTTCCATTCTGGGATGGGCCTGCCAATGATGCAGCTGACCCAGAGTCACCCATGCCCTTGTAAGTAACTCTGACAAGTCCATTGTTTTGCTGTACTAGACTTATAGGTATGTTGCTTCTTTGGTGTGTTGCCAGTGTCCTACTTGGGGTGAACAGACATTTGTTCATGTCACCCTAGGAAAACTTATGGAAAAAAGTAAATTAATTATATGCTTCATTTTACAAACATTCCATAGGGCTTAGGATAGAATTCAATCCCTATATAATAATCAAGTAAACAGGCCAGAGAGATGGCTCACAGTTAAGAGCACTGGAGGTTCTTCCAGAAGACCTGGGTTTGGGTCTCAGCACCCACATGGTAGCTCATAACCATCTGTAACTCTAAGCACCCTCTGAGGGCACTGCATACAGGTAGTGTACAGACATACATGCAGGCATAACACTCACACACATTTAAAAAAATCTAGCTAGCCAAAAT